TGAGTTCTCTTTCTTAGTTGTATCTTTTTGTAGCTTGGGTACTTAGGTTATTGTAGTCTCGTAAAAAGAGTTTGGCATGACCCTTCTGCTTCTATGGTGTGGAACACTTTGAGGAGTATTGATATTAGCTGTTCTTTGAATTCCTGGTAGAATTCTGTACTGAAACCATTAATATTGATGTATGTTAATGACTATTGATTGTTAATTCTTGTTTTGGATTTGTTGTTGTTGTTGGTATTACTTGTGGATTTCTCCATATTTTCTTTTGGATGTTGTCTAAGTGGGGTTCTCTATCGTCTATGTTTTTGTGGGTGTAGCTGACTTCCCTGGGTTGGAGTTTGCCTGCATGATGCCATGCTCTCCATCATGATGATCATGGACTAAACCTCTGAATCTATAAGGGTGCAACCCATATTAAATGTTTACTTTATAAGAGTTGCCATGGTCATGGTGTCTTCTTAGAAAACCCTAAGAAAAATGGGCGTTAAACTTCCCTCCTCTCATAAGAGGTTGTGTGTGTTTAATAGGCATTATTAGTGTCTAAATGCCCAGTATGGCCTTTACAAAGCTAAAAAATCAGAAATGAGACTAACCATGGCATAATGGGGAAAACAAAACAAAACAAAACAAAACAAAAAAAAAAAAACCACTTTTTGTTGTTTGAAGCTGTGGCTGTCTTGGAACTCACTCTGTAGACCAGGCTGGCCTGGTCTCTGCCTGTCTCTGTCTCTTGAGTGCTGGGATTACAGGTATGTGCTACCACTGCCCTGCCAAAGAAAAATATTTAAATAATGTCAAACCTTTATGTCAGTCCTAAATTTACAGTCTCTCCTTTTTGAGTTCCCTTGTTTTTTTCTGTCTATAAATGAAGACTATGCCTTGGTATAGTTAGTGGACTTATGTGGAATATTGAATGAAATCTGACTTTTAAAAATATCATTATTTATCTTTTTCTGTAAGAGGTTTCTGTGAAGGGGAAGATGACACTGAGAACCACATTTCCTGAAAAGAGCTGGCCGTTTGCTGGAACTCCTGCAAGGCTGATGTTCTATCCAGTGGTACAGAGGGGCCAGAATGTTACAAGTTCAGAATTGAATTGTCTTGGAAGTATCTTTAGCCCCTTATATGAAGCCGTTTATTGCCCTCTGTATGATATGTGGCATCTTTCATGACCATTTGGTAAATCCTTTGGAATGTAGAGACTCCTAGTTTCCAATCAACCCAAGGGCCAAGAATGCTGTTACACTGAGTCTAACTTCAAACTGGCCTCTGCCTTCAGCTTTGCTTTCCTGGTCTTTTTCATAATGCACTGGCCCTAAATGTATCTGATGAGAAAGTAAACCTTTAAAATTTTCTAAGCTGTGAAGGAAGTGTAGAATGATTATACATAATTTGTCTGTGAGCTGTTTTAAGAAGGAAATGAGAAGCAACTTATCCTAAACCTGGAGGTAGCTTTCCTGTGAAGAAATGATTGTTTAACAGAGATAGGCAGAAGGAAGGCAAGGCTGTGATCACAATGGGTTTTGATAAGGAGGCTGAGGAAAGCTGCTCTGTGGCAGAGAAGTACCTGCTGAGCTCGTGCCACACCCTGAGTTGTGTCATTAGCATCAGATGGACCCCATCTGTCAAAAACATAAGATATAAAGGGGTTGGTTAATGAATAGAGTTGCAAAAGATTGCTCCAAGATAGCCTCATAAATGGGTACATTAGAAATGCATAATTAAAAATCCCCCCCAGGAGTTCTTGAAAGGTGTCTTCTTGCCTCAGAGTCTTGTTTGTTTCTATTCATATGGAGTTCACATGAAATAAATACTATTATTTTATTACTTTTGTTTTTTCAAGACAGGGTTGCTCTGTGTAGCCTTGGCTGTCCTGGAACTTGCTCTGTAGATCAGGCTGGCCTTGAATTCAGAGATCTGTCTGCCTCTGCCTCCCAAGTGCTGAGAGTAAATGTGTGGTCATTTTGTTATTTTTTGATGACTTAATTGAATTAATTTTACCACAAGAATTCATTTGAGAAACATTAGACAAATATGGGCAATTGGTGGGAATTTTCAAGAGGTACACAATCCAGTCTTAGATCCAAATCTCTTTGGAGTCCTTTATAGGTTCCATGCTTATTTTCTTTCTTCTTTTCTCCTTCTTCCTCCTCCTCCCCCTTTTTGGTTGTTTTGTTTTTGTTTAATCACTTTTGGTGGCAGCAAAAATGTATGCCTGCATCCTTGGGCCCTCAGGCTTCTAAGTATTAAAGGGTATATGCATGCTTAGTGAGTCCTGATTCCTTTTAGACAAGCAATCAAAGAGCCAAAGGAGCTGTTGTAAGTCAGAAAGAGCACTACAATTTTCCTTTGTTCAGCTGATGAATCCTCCCCCAGGAAATTTTTTTTTTTTTGGAACAATTGCTAGGCAGCATTTGAAAGAATTCTAGGTGGGAAAAAAGTATGGCAGGGAAGGATCCAGTCTGCTTTATCTGGTAGACTTTGTGAAGGAAACTTCTCAAAAGAAGCTGGGTGTGAAGGAAACCTGAAAGGATTCCATGTCTGCAGATCATGGCTGGCTGATGAGAACTTCAGTGCTGTGGAGACTGGAGTTTTGCAGGTATAGAGGCTAAAGGCCATACCCTGGCCCTCCATACAACCAGTCCTTGCACCTCCAGTGTTGGAACTAACACTAGTGACAATATATATGTATTTATGTATGTACACACACACACACACACAAACACACACACACATTTTAGCAGGCAACTGATTTTAACCAATCCAAAAGTTAAGAATGTCATCAGATAGCATCCTGAGCTTAGAGAAAGGCTCCCCCAATCTTGATGCACTTGCCTCTCTGATGCACTCACCAGTGCATAAATTTTGATTTACTGTTTGTTTTCTTTTAATGAGTATTTGGTTTGGCTTGTATGCATGTCTGTGTGAGGTAGTTGGGTTCCTGGGAACTGCAGTTACAGACAATTGAGAGCTGCCATGTGGGTGCTGGGGATCAAACCTGGGTTCTCTGGAAGAACCCAGTCAAAGCTCTAAAGTGAGCCATCTCTCTAGCCCCTTGACTTATGGCCTTTATTCTGTAAAACTATAAAAATGTGATGAAACTGCTTCCAAGTTGGAACATGGAATTTGGGTGAGCTAAGTCTGTGTTCCCCCACCAGTCACTCAAAACGACTCCAGAATAAACCCTCTGTTACTCCCTTTAAAATGGGAGCTGTAGGTTTTTTTTTGTTTGTTTGTTTTTTTGTTTTTTTTTTTGAGACAGGGCTTCTCTGTGTAACAGCCCTGGCTATCCTGGAACTTACTCTGTAGACCAGGTCAGCTATCTGCCTTCCTCTGCCTCCTGAGTGCTAAAATTAAAGGCATGTGCCATCACTGCCCCCAAAGAGCTGTAGTTTTTACATAACAATATTTTTTCAAAAAATTTTTGTGTGTGTATGCCACAAGTGTGCAGGGTCTGATAGATGATGGAGCAGGGAGTTGGGTCTCCTGGAGCTAGAGTTACAGCATGAAACAAAACTGGTTATAAGGAAACAGTATGTGCTCTAACTGCGGAGCCATCTCTCCATACTCATCACAGTGTGTTGCTTTATTGACATTTGTACGATAGTCTGACCAGATGTTTGTTTTCAACATCAGTTTGTATCTCATTTCCTGAAGCAAGTGTATGTGACATTTATGTAACTAACCCTTACACACTTGAAGTTTCTCTTTTCCCCCTGTTACACACCATGCCACTGAGCTAGGAACCCCAGCTCTCTTGTTTTTAACAAGCTTCTCACACACTTATGAGAACATTCACACTGAGACAGGTGTCTGAAGTGGTTAAGAATAGATCCAGCTGGACCACATCAACATTTAAAAATAGTGTTTTGGAACACTCTGGAACAAAAGCTCACACATACTGGTAAAGTATTTATCAAAAGCTAATGTAACAACATGGAGTTTACTCCATAAATGTGTGATTGTATGCATTTGATTTTTTTTTTTTTAGTAATGTATAATTGTTTCATCAGCATCTGAAAATTGGTTGTAGAAGGGCCAGTGACCGCAAGAGCAATAAAAGGCTGAAACCACAAATCCTGAACTACCCTCTAAGATGGTACCCTTTGGGTTTTCCACAGAACAAATAAAGGTCGTGGCTCAGTTTCTCAGAAGATGACAGTTTTATTTTTTTTCAAGTTTCGACGTATGGGGTAATCATATTTATGAAAATAGATTTGACATCTGTATCACAAGCAAGACCAGATTGAACTACCTTGAATTGTTGTATTACTTAAACGTTTTCCAATGTGCACTTATTTAATTTTATTTATGTGAATAATGAAATTAGTACCAGCAAAATCACATCGAAAATCTGAAAAAAAGTCAAGAGAGGACGAGATCCAGGCTGGGCAACTGCAGCATATGCTTGTAATTTCAGCCAGCCTGGAGACTGCGCAAAAAAGAGAGAGGGAGACAGGGAGTACGAATGAATGAACGAATGATGAATAGATTTGGGACTAGGTAACTGCAATTTACTTCGGAAAGGAGAGGATGAGGTCTAAGGTGGCCTTTAGAGCTACCTGGAAGTTAAGTGGCCCTGGCTGCTCTGATGTGCCGCACAGAGGGTGTGTGACTGCCCTCCCTGGGCCTCCAGAGGGGCCTGGAGAGCTTCCCGGGCAGATGACCTCCCAGGGCTCTGGCCTCGGGTGTAGCGCGGAGGTGAAGGATGGGGGCGGCGGCGCATTCCCGCCCGGCTAACAAAGGCAGCTGAGGGACTCCCAGAGCCGGGAAACCCGCGCGGGGCCGAAGGGTTAACCCGGAGCCCGGCTCCCGCGCGCATCCCGGCCCCCGCCCGCCGTCGCTAGGAGACGCCGGAAGTGGGGGAGGGGCGGCGCGGGTGGGAATCTTTTTCGGGCGCCCGGGGGCGGAGGGAGGGGAGCGCGCGCGCGCGCGCCCGCGCCCGCCCGTCGCCGCGGTGACCGTCCTCGCGGCCCGCCGGCTCGCGCCCCGCCTCAGTCCCCGCCGCCCCCTCCTTCCCTCCCTCCCCCGCCGCGCGCTGGGGGTGCCGCTCGCTCCTCCCGGTTCCCGCCGCGGTCGCCGCTGCTCCTCCTCTCTCGGGCGTCGCGGCCGCTGCCTCTGCGGACTGTATGAGGAGGAGGAGGAGGAGGATGTGAAGATGGCGGAGCTGCAGATGCTGCTGGAAGAGGAAATCCCGGGGGGCCGCCGGGCCCTCTTCGACAGCTACACGAATCTGGAGCGGGTGGCCGACTACTGCGAGAACAACTACATCCAGGTGCGTCGCGTCCCCCGGCTGAGCGCGTCAGGTCGCGGGGGTGCGCGGGGCGCGGGACGCCCCGGCTGAGGAGGCCGCGCGGTGCTCGGCCCGGGGAGCCGCGCCGGGGTGGGGACGGGGCGAGGGCGGCGGCGGGAGGAAGCGGGCTCGGCGGAACGCCCCAGAAGCCCCGTGCGGGTCCGCGGTGCGGTGCGGTGCGGTGCGTGTGGCGGCCCGCCTCCTCGTCTCTGCCGCTTCGCCCCCGCACTCCTCGCCTGTCAGTGTTCCTGGTGGCGGAGGAGGTGGAGAGTGGCATTTTGTATATAACGGAATGTGGCGCGGGCGGCAGGGTTGTGTGTGATAGAGGCATAGGTTACCTCCTGCCCGCTCCTCAGGCATTTTTATAAAAAGGGTTCTGTTCCTGCAAAGTGAATTGCTTCGGCTTTCCCTTCCTGTGAATGTCCCCTGAAGACAAAACAAAAATTCTTAACCCTTAAGTTTAATTTTTTTTTTCTTTTAAGGTTGTAAAGGGGACACGGTGGAATGGCTGTCTCTTATTACAAGTTAATGCCATTTTTTCCCCTGTGGAGAATGGGAAACTGCCTCATAATGAGCTGCTTTTCCTTCCCAATCCCCGTTAGAATATGTCGATTTCCTATGGGAAAAAGAACTATGACTATTTTTCACAAAGAATTACGAAAATGAACCACATGGTTAGTTTTATTCCCCCATGATGATTGGTTTGGCACCGGGACTCATAGTGGGTGTGTGTGTGTAGGAAGGTGAGAAGGTGAGGGAAAGACTTTGGCGAGATGAGAACCAGCTGGTCATGGAGAAATGTTAAAAATCTTATGGGTTAAAACAACGCTTTAAAAATTAACTCATGATTTACAAATCCAGTATCTCCTATTTTCCTTAGGGCATATACTGAATTGTGGGTTGTGCCTCCATTTTTCACACTCTCGGTTATATTCTCTGGATAAAGTGGAAATGGAAGAGTTTTAAACTGTTAACCCGTTTTTTAAACGTTCTTGTCTCTACACCCATCTCTGCATATATCTATCATCAGTTATATTGGGAAGCATTCTCAGTTGTTAGTATGAATTATATTTTAAAAATTCTGTAGTTTATAGGTTCATAAGTTTTCTGAGGACTACATAATTAGAGATAATGTCATTAGGTTTTGCATTGATCACACATGTACTGAACTTTATTACCATGTTGCAAACATTTGTATTGGGGAATGAATCTGACATAATGGAATCCTTTTCCCTTCAAATAAGTGGTTGAAAGTGTATATTCAGTAGGAAGAAAGTGTGACTTTGGTTACAGATTGATTTAAAAACAAAACAAAATCCTAAGATGCTTGCTGTGTAGGAATTTTCAAATGATTTCATTGCTTAACTTCACCAGGCTTCTTTGGCCCAAAACTGTTGATGGTACATTCCTAAAGTCTTGAGGGTTGATCTGTGATTGAATTAATTCCATATTTATACTGTACACCATCAGTCCTCCTTGTTGGAGGGTCGTACATTTGTGATTCAATCAACTGGCAATTAAAATATTCACTCTGTATGAATTCGAACAGACCTGTTTCTTGTCTTTCCCTAAGTGATACAGTGTAACACTTGCAGGGCATTTACACATTATTAGGTATTGTAAGTAATCTGTAGATTTAAAGTATAGAGGAGGATGTGTGATAGATAACATGTAAATATGCAGTTTTATGTAAAGGACTTGAGTATCCAAAGATGTTGGCATGGGGGCTGTAGTGTGGTGTGGAGGGTGTCCTAGAACTAATCCCTATTGGATACCAAGGGATAAGCCAAGCATAGTTAATTTCTACTTTGTAGTGGATGTGAGTAGGGAGGTTTTGCTTATTATCAAGGATTCACAGCTGCTAGGAGAGGTAAACCTAAAAGACTAAAAGTGCTAATTCTGTTGCCTTGTGTATCATGTTACTGGAAAGTGTTGTTGGTCAGAAGAGAAACTGGGGGATGGAAAAGTGATTGTAGTTGTGGCCAGTTAATAATAAACAGGTTTGACTCTCTTTGAAAGATGAATGTTGCTATAATTTTAGATTATAATTGCCACATAAAAGGAAAAATGTAAGATCAGCATTTGTCTTAAATTTTATAATTCTAGCTGAAAGAGAAGTGTCAAAGTTGGTATGTTATTTACTTATTATTTGTTGGGGATTGAACTCAGGATCTTGTGGATGCTAAAAATATACTCTACTACTGAATTATACTCTGAGCCCGTTCTAAAAGCATAAATACTGATTTCCTCGGAATGGATTTTGAAGCATCTGTATTTTCAATTTACCACCTGAAGTAAAGTTTGTACTTTGATTGCTTATGTTGTCCTCTGTTGTGGGATTCACTGGATTCATTGTAGTTGTGCTCTCCCAGGTGACACTTCTTACATGATAACTAGAACTGGTGATAGTTGATTTGTGCTGAGCCAGCTGCACATTTGACTCAAGGACTGATCGGCAGGGATCCTGATGCAGTCTGTGACCCTGTGATACATGAAAGTTAATTGGCAGGATCACTGAGCAGATGGTCTATTAACCTTTTTTATGGCATTTTGTCTTAACTTCTAGCTCCAGTTAACTAAGTCAACACTCATTTCATTGTATTGAAATGTAACTTTTAAGGCACAAAAAATACGGTGACCATATATATTTGTTGTTATTTCAGTGTTAAGAATTTGGTTCTATGTCTAGGAAATAAAATAGGTAAATAAAAATACACTAATTAGGCTGGTTGGTGGTGGTGCATGCCTTTAATCCCAGCACTTGGGAGGCAGAGGCAGGCAGATCTCTCCGAGTTCATGGCCAGCCTGGTTTAAGGAGACAGCCAAAGCTACACACAGAAAAACCCTGTCTCAAAAAACAGAAACAAAAAATACATTGGTTGTAACTTAAAATTAATGTGAGATTTGAGCAAAAGGAAAGGAAATGATTGTGTTGTTTTAATTACTTGGAGTCTTTAAAAATGTTTCATAGGGTATTATTTTTGCTGTATACCAGTGGGCATTAGGAGTGATCTGATAGTGCCTGAGTTATTTACACATACACACACACACACACATACGGTGGTGGTGGAGATTACAGATAAATGTAAATAAACGTAAATTGTTACTTTCTAGTAATAATGAAGTTAAATTGGTATTTTAAGTGTTATTAATGAAGTGAGTTATGTTAGCTTCTAGGAAACAGGAAAAATTGTTTTTCTTTTCTTTCTCCCTTCTTTCTTACCTTTGTTTTCTTTTGGTTTTTCAAAACAGGGTTTTTCTGTGTAACAGCTCTGGCTGTCCTGGAACTCCTAGAGATCCACCTGCCTCTGCTTCCCAAGTGCTGGGACTAAAAGCCTGAGTTATCATACCAAGCAAAGATTAAAATTTTTAGAATACATGCTTAGTTTTGAAAAATTAATGTAAAGTGACTAGATGTTAAAGGAATTAAGTTACCCAGTTATCTTTAATACATTTATATTCCTGGCATTTATATTCCTAATAGTTTTGGTAAATAATGCTACATATTTCTAGAGAAGTGAATTTATAGTTTATATTACCTTTCAAACTTTTGAGAAAGATTTTCTTCTAAGAGGTAGCATGAAGTCTAGTTGGTATTAATAATAAAAATCCAGAGAATGATATCGGGGTGAAAGCTGAAAGACCAGAGAAGTGTCCGGCCACAAGAGTTATTATCTCTACCAATGCTCAGTCCAAAGGGGCGGTCCTATTCTCAAACTGCACTGCTCCTCAGACTGCCTGCTTCAGACTGCTGTCTCAGACTGGCATGAGCTTCTTTCTCTTCTCACCTTATATTCCTCTCTCCACCCAGCCATATGCCTTCCTGTCTCTCCCTCCTTAGTGCTGAAATTAAAGGCTTGTCACTTCCAAGTACTGGGATCAACTTTTCGTTAGCTCCGCTTTTCTTTTAGACTGGATCAGTTTTATGTAGCCCAGGATGGCCTTGAACTAACAGAGATCCGTCTGCCTCTTCATAGTTTTGGGATTAAAGGTGTATACCAACACTGCCTTAAAGGTGTATACCAACACTGCCTGGCCTCTGTGGCTAACTAGTGTTGCTGCTGGGATTAAAGATGTGTGCCCCCACTGCCTGTCCTCTGTGGCTCAGTAATGTGGCTAGCTTTGCACTCTGATCTTCAGGCAAGCTTTATTTACTAGATCATAAAGAAAATATCACCATAGAGAAGACATGTGGTGAGACAGAATCTTGCTGTGTGGCCAGACTAGCCTTCGATTCTGAGTCCTTCTCCCTGTACCCTTCCATGAGTTGGGTTTACAGGTCACAGTGACCAGCTACTCAACAACACTTAATGATGCTAGGACTGGCTTTCTTTTATGGTTGTCACAGTACTTACAGGACTGAATTTATTTGTGTTTGTGGTTTTAAGGTGCTCACAAATGGAGCACCTTAAGGTACTTAAAAATGCAGGGTGTGTATTATGGTGCACATCTTTGATTCCAGCACTCAGGAGCAGGGGCAGGTTCAAGGCCAGCTTGGTTTATATAGTGAGTTCCAGAACAGCCAGGGCTATATAGTGAGATGCTGTCTCAAAAGCCAAAAACAAAAAGAACTTAAAATTGCATGAAGAAGGAAGTCATTGAGAGTAGAAGTTTGAGTACCAGTAGTTACATCCTTCTTGAATCTTGTCTTTTACCTCCACTGAGAGGAATGAAGTGAATAGGTGGAACTGTAGCTTCTCATCCTCTAAGAAAGTTATCCTAATTTCCAGGAGAAATGTGTTGGTGAATGGGTTTTCAGTGACAAATGTCATCATCATTATTTTGGTTTTTCGAGACAGGGTTTCTCTGTGGCTTTGGAGGCTGTCCTGGAACTAGTTCTTGTAGTGACCAGGCTGGTCACGAACTCAAAGAGATCCACCTGCCTCTGGACAAACCTGTCATTATTAATACCTTTGACAAGACTATAAAAATAGACTACATTATACCCTGAGTGCCTTGCTCTTTTAAAAAATGTTTGTGTA